AGGTAATTATATCCCCCAGTCAGAGAACCTCCCCCTCCTCAGGAACTATAAATATTGGACTGATTAGGGCTAATGGGCCCACCTTTTGAGCCAATGGCAATAAGTTCTCTCTTTCCACTTTTTATTAAAACAGCTTTTCTGTGACAGCAACACTGGCCTGAGGGGTTGAGGAGATACAAGCACTTGATGGCATGCCCCCCCATAAAGACAGGGTGTCAGTAAGACCTCACCCTAAATTTTTACTGAAAGTGGTCTCTGTCTTTCACTTAAGTCAGGTCATCCCTCTACCTGTCTCTCACACCTCCCCCCCATCCACATTCAAATAAAGGTTAGGTGAAATGGGACACCTTACAGAAGTTCTTAGAGTGCTCTCCTGCTGTGTAGATAGGACTAAGCCATTCAGGGTATTTCTAAGATTATTGATAGTTTATGCAGACAGGGTTAAAGGACAAGTCCTTTCAACACAGATGTTCCAACTGGATCTCTGCTTGTATCAAGTGATGTGATGAATTAGCAAACATACTCTCATAGGTGGGTCTAACATCTCAGTGTACCAGAGCAGAAACAACCTCTGTTGCTTCTTTGATAAATGTTCCCATACTTGGAGATACTAGGGTAGCTACTTTGGGCTCAATACACATATTCACCCAGCATTATTCCATCGTGGAAGCATCAAGAGCCGATGCTAATTTTGGTAGGACTGTCCTACAATCGCTGGTTAGGTAGACTCCTAGCACCCACCTCCTTGTAACCTAGGTCATTGCTTGTGAGTTACCAACAGTGAAATGTTTATGGACAAGCTCTCAAAGAAGAAGAAATGGCTACGTGTAAGTTACAGTAACTGGTTCTTCGAGATGTGTTGTCCATATATGTTCCATGACCTGCCACCGCCCTTCCCCCTCCCCTCTTGGAGTAGAGGCAAAAATTCGGTGTAGAAAGGACTTGTGTTCCATAGCTTCTAGCTTTCACACTCTACTGTTCCATCCTACATATTGGATCCATAACTAGTTATAACAGAACTGTCTGTAGAAACAGTTGCTTCCATATATGTTATATCAATAGAGGGAGGATGCTGGTACAAATCCCACAGTGTGGAACAATATATCAGTGTCTTTCCATTGCTTTGGCTTTTGCTTATTTTAGATAGTATGCAATGCATATTGCATACACAAATCCTTTATCCACATTGATGCTTCCAGTTGCTGCTGTTATTGTTTATTCCTTATTTTATTATGAAACATTTGTGTATAGTGCTATAGGCATGCATGGCAACTCACATAGCAAATAAAGATATGTTCACCTCGGGCAGCTAAATTGACACAAGAAGACACTGGAAAGAGAACAACAAGCAAGGGAAATAGAGGGATGCAGGGAAGAAGAAATACACAGAATAAAGTTAAGGGTTTGTTTGGGTACTACATTACCTATTGTAGTAGTTCCTAGGTGGTCTTTTTTGTTTTGTTAATTGCCTTTAAAAATTGTTTAAATGGAATTTGCGGATTGTTGTTTGAGGGATTGTGAAAAGCAGTGGGTTTTGAGAAGAAGTATTCTCAGGGAGATTGCTTGGCCTACCAGACCAGTGAGGCCACTTCAGGCTCGGAGGGAAGCACTTAGGAGAGCACAGGCACTTGTGCGAGAAGGGAACAAAAGGGGATCAGTCATTGGCAGAGAGAGAGTCAGCATAAAGATAAAAGGAGGACTGGTGGCACCTTAGAGACTAACCAATGTGTTTGAGCAGAAGCTTTTGTGAGCTACAGCTCACTTCATCGGATGCATGCAGTGGAAAATACAGTGGGGAGATTTATATATACACAGAGAACATGAAACCAATGGGTGTTACCATACAGACTGTAACAAGAGTGATCAGGTAAGGTCAACAATTACCAGCAGGAGAGCGGGAGGAGGAGGGTGCGGGGAGGGGGGAAACCTTTTGTAGTGATAATCAAGGCCCACCTTGATCATCACTACAAAAGGTCCCCCCCACCACCCGCTCTCCTGCTGGTAATAGCTCACCTTACCTGATCACTCTCACTACAGTGTATATGGTAACACCCACTGTTTCATGTTCTCTCTGTATATAAAATCTCCCCACTGTATGCATCCGATGAAGTGAGCTGTAGCTCACGAAAGCTTATGCTCAAATAAATTGGTTAGTCTCTAAGGTGCCACAAGTCCTCCTTTTCTTTTTGTGAATACAGACTAACATGGCTGCTACTCTGAAACCTAGCATAAAGATAATAGCTCAAATCGAGTGGATGAGGTTACCCAGGCATAAAGTGCAGAGTATGAAGAGGAGAGGGGCCAAAGACAGAATTCGGATGTAGAGAGGGGGTAAAGAAGAGGTGGTGCCTCCAGAGGAAATACTAGAGGGAGCACTCCAAATCAAGTATCTGAAAGTCAAATAAAAGTACATGAGTTCAGAAACACAAAGTAGAAGAGAGTTAGGAAGGATGATGTGGTCAACAGTGTTGAAGGTAGTAGAAAGGTCAAGCAGGGTGAGCCTGGAAAGGTCAAGGAGGATGAAACTGAAGAAGAGAGATTTGGACTTGGCCAAGAAAAGTTAATTGGAGATTGACTCAGTGAGAGAAGTCTCTGTGGAACAGAGGAGTGAAAGGAAGTACAAGCAACAGGAGGAGCTAGGATGTGGTTAGGGAGGTTAGGGAGACGGGGTAGCAGTTGGAAAGGTGGGAGAAACTGAGGAAGATTTACTTCTCAAGATGCGGAGAAGTAGGTATGTTTGAAGGCCAAGAAAAAGAAGCTAGCTGAGAGAATCAAGATTAAGAATGAGAGAGGAGTGGTGGCGGAGGTCACAGATGGGCGAGGATAAGGGCAAAGGAACAGGGACTGAAGGAGGAGAGTGGGAGGGACACTTTGGCATAGGGAGCAAGGTGGGGCTGAAATGGGGCTAAGTAGGGGGGAAATAATGATGACTTCAGACCAGATGGGAGTTAGGAAGTAACAGTAAATTGTTTTTTTTTTTTTTAAATGAAAGCCTGATTCCCCTCTTTTACTCAGATTCAATATGCTTATTATTCCTATTTTAATTTTAGAAATTGATGTTAATAGGCAAGTTAAACTATTTGGAGTTGCACAGCTAACACTAAAACCTTAAAGTTGTTCTTATTTTTCTCATTACAGCATCCTGAAAATCACAGGGGGAGAAGCAACGCAATATTAATATTTTGCAAATTAGATTAGAAATTTAATTTAATTGGACATTTTGAAGCTTCTGTTGAAAAGGGGGGCAAAATCTGAGACCTATGGCTCCCCATACAGGAGACTATAACCCATTTTTCACCTTGTGTTAATACTAATCTAACAGCTGTACAAACACCTGCAAAGGCTGATCTGATCTCAGTGGAAGACTTTTTCCTTGGTGTTTATTTTGAGTCTGCTTCTTGTAGATTTCCATTTGGTCATCTGCAATCCAAATTGCTCATCTGATCTCAACCTAAGGTCCTTAACCTAATGGTGTTCCTTATTGTTATTTTCATTTTTCTTTGCACTACTAGAAAAGCACTACTTTTAAACATTTTAAAAAAACCCAGAAAAATACATTAAGGTAAATTTCTAATTTAAACACACAGAATGAGGGAAGTGCAGTCAGGGCTGAAATTCCAATCTCATGGTGGCCAGTTGTGCTTAAGTATTGCATACATCTTCTAAAACTGTATGTTAGTCTCTAAGTTGCCACAAGTACTCCTTTTCTTTTTGCGAATACAGACTAACATGGCTGCTACTCTGAAAGCTGTGTATGATCTAAAGTATCATATGTGTTGTAATACCTAGGTGAAAAGGAATGTGTTAAGTTGAGTTCCATTCTTAACTTTGAATTTTCATGCTTTATTGGGGTTTAAGCTAGACCCTGATCATTACCTTAATGTATTTTTTTCTGTCATTTTTATTATGTTAGTAAAGCAATTAAGTAAGATATCTGATCCAAACTCTTGTTTAATAAGTAGTTGGGTTTCACATTCACTTACAGTTTTGACTATAAATGGCACTTTATTACACTGTCCATCAGCCTTTTATTGGACTTACATCACTACAGAATATGTAAGACATCATAAAAAGTTACAAAAGTATGCTTTTTGGCTTTTGGTTTGAAAGGTTAGATATAAACAGGAAATGAAGCCCAGGCACTACGGAATTGGCATAGTGCACATTTAACATAGTAACATATCTTGATAAAACAGAACACTTTGACAGAGTGTATTCTAGAACTTGGTAAATGTGATGCAGATTTGCTGGGCATTGCAAAACTATAGTAAATCAATTCAAAAGAAAGCCTATTCCTTCTGCTGTTTTACATGCTAGTCACTTTAGCTTTACAAACAATGGTACCCGTTCTGCCCTACTTGCACTTGTACTTGGCACTTAAATGTAATTTACATTTTAAAATCCCCCTATAGTATAAGTCACACAGTGCCCTTAAACCATGTGCTCAATTCCCATGATGTGAATAAAATAATTATATATGAAAACAAAATTACCATGAGGACATCAAGTTTACAAAGGAAAACAGATCAGAATTAAGTTGGATTGGAAGAGCTATTTGGGAAAGCTAGAGCTACTTCAGTGCTATGTTCTTCACATTCATAAGCTCTTAAAAAGAAGTTGAAATAATGGTAAACTAAAAATTCAGTATATATCACTAGGACGTTCTCCTTATCCAAAATTGTATTTGGCTTTCGCAGTTCAAGTGCAATTGCTTGTGTTGTATCCCTCCCAAGGATCCGAGTGTTGGTGTGTGGGTTGTGGAAACCATGAGAAGAGACAAACTTCTGTCACATTTTCATGAAAAAAGGAAGGTGTTTGGCAGCCATTAAAAGGAGTGTCATGGAAGGTGCACAGTGTAATTGTTGCTGTGGGCACTGATATAGATGGCCCTTTTCAGAAATGAGAGAGGGAGTATGGGAGATGAAACTTGAAGATGAAAACTAATATTTAAAAACAAAATAGCAAAGTACAGCTAATAATTTACAATTCTGTTCCTCCAGGGATACTTGGTGGGAAGTTCCTGGAAAGAAGTCGTATTAAGAAGCCTGGGCAGGAGCTCTTTAAGAGTGAGATATCTGAGTACTTCAAAGCTCAGGATCTGTTTGTTGGAGCCAAAGTTTGTTTCAATGGTCACAACTTTCTTTTGGTGGATGCTGATGAGTATGCATTCAACTATATGGAGAAGCATGCAGATGAGGTGAATTGGGCTTTTGCTACTTTATTTTGCCTTTCAGCACTATGCATTGAGTATCATATCTATATAATTTTCTCAGAACCAAGTTTACCATGTTTCTTCACACTACAATGTGTACTGAACTATCATTATGTAATTATTTATCTTAACAATTTGATCATTTCGTTCCCCTCTGCAAGGCCCCCCCCCCCATGTGTATACAATCTCTGATCATTTGCTTTGTCACAAATATCACACATTCCCTTCACAGCTGGGGATTCAAGCTCTCAGTTGCATTGAGTTTCATGATCTGCTGACACTGGCATTGTTTTCAGAAAGGAAAGCAATAATTAGCAGAAGGAGGGGAAAAAGTGATGATACATACTTTTCCTGTGCCAGTTAATTTATATCTGGTCCTGGTAACAGAGTCCGTGTTAACCAAAGCCACAAGGTATCTCATAGTTGTTCTGGCTGCATCTTCCAACAGCAGTGGTCATATGAGGCACTAGCAGAAATAGTAACTTGGAGGAGAAGATAAAAACAAGCTGCTAAAAAGAATGGCAGGGTATTATGGGTGGACTACTGGGCTGGGTATGTTGTAGAGAAGCATACACTTACAGAGATTCTGATGAAATAACTATAACTGTAGGTGTACATATTTGGGAAGTCTGTTCTCTGAAGTGTTGAAAACATTATTCTGAAATTATTTAAAAATGTGTTTGAAGAATATGTGACGTCAGGAACTCCTGAGTTCTAACCTCTGCTCTGCCATACTCACCTTGAGCAACGCCCTGAGGGCCAGATGGTGCCCTGAGGCACAGTTCTATACAAAGCATGAATTGCATTGCTTGTGATGGAGCACCAGAAAGAAATGTGTCTCCGCTTGGCCACACTGGCAACGTGGAGGCGCTGCCACGGCTAGAGCTAGAGCTCTCTCACAGCGCTACCATCTCCACGAGGGGCATAGATACCAGCTCTGGGAGCGCGGCTCCGAGCGCTGGTGCACCGTCTACGCTGGCATGTTACAGCGCTGAAACTTGCCGTGCTCAGGGGGGTGTTTTTTCACACCTTTGAGGGAGAAACTTGTAGTGCTGTAAAGTGCCAGTGTAGACAAGCCCTCAGACTCAGTGTGTCTGAGTCATCATTTCTCCAAAGCTGCCCTTTCCCACAGTGGCAGGTGAGGAGGGGCAAAGAATACATGGAATCAGTCCTTAATAAGAAAGGAGATTGCCCTCCAGCCTTGTGTCCTGCCATCTTGTGGGGGTGGGGGGGAGCACTGTCACTCTAGTCAGATCTTTACCTATTCCCTGCCCACCTGCTCACTGAAAGGGAAGGCAGGCAAGAAGCAGCCATTCAAGGACTCTGCTGTGCTGAAGTCCCAGATCCCAGGGGCGGGTAAGCCTAACACTGTTTCATGTGGGAGGGTGGAAATCCTTATTCCACTACCTAGTCGTGGTAGAGTAGACACAATCTAGCCCTTAATGCCTTTGGGCCCCATGCACTACTCATTTGAGTGAGACAAACAGGTTTTCAGCCTCTGTTTCTTTGTAAAATAAGGATACTAACATTGTCTACCTCACTCGGTGAAGTAAGGATTATTTGTTGTAGAGTGCTTGTTGATATAAAGTGTTTTAACTGTTATGTATTAATAAAAAATAAAGCTATATATATACCTCTTATTCCCTGCAATTTGTTTGTACTCCTAGTATCATAACCAAACTTGCTCCAAAATATACAGTGCACCATTAAACTACAAATGTTCTTTGGAGCTGCTGTTTGCATTTGATTAATCCCTAAGCAAATAAATGAGATCCTAGTTTTTCAGACTAAGTGAATGCATATATCAGCATTACAATCTGCAGAATGTGACCAAGAAACATTGAGAAAACAGCCCTTTAAAAATGAGTTTTGAAAACTATTATTCGTGCAGATAAGACTGTAAAACAGCTGGTGAGAATAAGCTTTACTGTTGTATTGATGCCTAGGTGATTTATACATGGTATTTGAATACTGAATATTAGGATTAAGTATACTTGTTCGTCACAGTGGTCCAGGGAGAGTACTTCATGCACCTCTTCAGGTGGAGTCATGTACTTCACTTACCTGAGCAAATGTAAGGAACTCCAATAAAAGTTGGAGATAAATAGATAAAAAATAAATACATTCTAGAGGAAGAGAGTTTTAAGATTATTCTTAATCCTTTTATTTTTAAATTCAATATTTCTTTAAACTTTACTTCTCTGTTTCCTTCCTTTGCCTTGATCACTTTCCTCATCAGTATCTGTTTTTAGAGTTGGTCAAAAAAGTTCCGACTGACATTTCTCCATTACAAAATTCCATTGTGCCAAAACAGAAGCTTTCTGCAGAAATCTGTTGATTTTTGTTGCAATTTTGTTTAGATTTTTTTAAAGGCATTTTGATAAAGTTCCATTTCTATATTTTTGAAACAGAGCATTTTGATTTTCATTTTGAAATTTAGTTTATTTTTATATTATAAAAATAAAAAAATCTGAAAAGTTATAATCAAAGGAAACATTTTGATTGATCCAAAATGAATTATTTTCAAAAATGTCATTTTGTGGCAAATTGTGAAATTGTTTGGTTTTGTTTCGATTTGGAATGAAAACAAAGTTAGACACTGAGGAATTTCCCACAAATTAGAAATTCCACTTCCCACACAGCTCTACATATTTTAGCCAAGTTGAAGAGACTAGATGAAAGCACATTAAGGAGCTGGTAATGTGTGTCAACAAGGTACACACTGACAGATAGCCAGCCTGCCATGCATTCGTGCGCGGTAGAGTCACACTCCAGCTTGCTGCAAAGTAAGTATTCATGTAGACAAGCCTTAAGTCACAAAGCGTGCAGGTCCTGTCTAGCAAGTAGGTTGATTCAAACAGGTGATTATTAATTACACTAAGGCCCCTTTGCGCTGCTCAGGCAATGTTACTAGGGTCTTAAGGTACACCCACTTTTAGGGCCCTTAACACAACCAGAGTGATGTGAAGAGGACTAAGAGACGCTGGACCTGACTCTCGGTTATGCTAAGTGTAGCTGGGAGTTGGGCCCAACATCTCTTATGGTTAGATCCTTAATTGCCAGCCTTATCTAATTTCAGTATTTGCTACTCAAAATAACATCATGTATTGAATGGGAGAAAACAGTTTTCAGCTTGTTTCATTATACTGTATGTTCTGCAGCAGAGCATGTCTGACTTTGATTCAGCTTTTGTTAAATGACTGTTTATTCCAAAAAATAAAAATCAAAGTTTTATTCTTGTTGACTACACACTTTTAAGAGTAGCAAGCAAATTATGTACAGGGTTTTAACATAGCAAAACTGAATGCTGGATTTGAAGCTCAAGTCTAATTGGAATGGCCTAATCGGGAAGAATGACACTTGTTGAAATAAATGTTCATCTTATGTTCTGGGAAAAATTGGTTCCTAATAATACAATCTGTGCTGAACTTAGTGTGAATGAAAAGTTTATATGACTGAGCATATACATTGGAACTGCAATGAACTGTTCACCAAAGTGAAGGACACAAAGATTTATTTTAAATTGATCATCTGTATTAAATGAGGATTAAGTGGGATGCAGCAGTGGACAGTGAGGGCAAAGGTACTGTTTAAACTTGTGCTTTAAAATGTACCTCTACCTGCTTTGATGTTGCATTGAAGCAAGACTGAGCAGCGTTTCAGTCACTGAAATTTAAGCTTTCTGAAGGTGTAACAGATAAGTACATTTAGTGAGATTTTAACATTTTCAGTAAAAAGCAAATTTTCTCAGCAGTTGGCTTTGTCTCAGACTCACCTAGAAAATGCTGTGATATGTACTGCACGTTTGAGAGGAGACAATGAAGATGATAATGCTTAGCAATTACACAGTGCCGTACATCTCCATAACACTGTGCATACATTAACTAAGTAATGCCTTTCTGCATGTAATATATATTTTCTGTCCTCCGCCCTCCATTAAGTTCCCAATGGCCAATATCAGCCTCATCCTGAACAAACTGAAGGCTATAGGAGAACCTAGTTCCAGAGAGATCAAGCAGATTTTTGCAGCCACTGACCCTGAACACACCAAGGTGATGGAATATAACCCTTTCAGGTAAGAACGAGGGATTCTCAGTTTTAACGTTTACTGAGGACAATTTTTGAGAAATGCACAGAGCATTGCTGTTTCTTGAAGCTCTTTGCACAATTGTGTGTTAAGTGTTAAGTGATAGATGACTTGTATTTGATTTCCACTAGTTTTAGGACTTTGTGTGAAATGCAATACAATGAAAGGTTTTTCAGGTGAAATGTAAAGAAAAGGAAGTGATTCTGGCTTAGACCGAGATAATTTTTTGAATAGCTTGGACAGCACAAATGAATGTGGCTGTTCCCTGTGGAGTTAGCCATGTGGCCACAGGAGAATAAGATCAGGACTGCATAGGCAGGGGAGTAGGTGAATGTATGGGCAGACAGGTAGGGTCAGCCAAGTCAGCTGGAAGTTCTGAAAATCAGGAAGGCAACTTTGAGTTGAATTCAGAGATGGATAGGAAACAATAAGAGAGAATGGGGTTAATTCAGTCCTGATTCTTTGAGCAAGATGATAGCCTGGTCACTGAATCCAGGCCCCTTGAAGTATAGGAAACAAACTGGGAAGATCTTAAAAGAGGGGAATGTAGTAGTTCACACAGGCAGTGATTAAAGCGTGCATAAATATTTGAGCAGAGGCTGGACTAATGGAAGTCTGGATTCTGGCAATGATCCATAGGTGGTAATGAACGAATTTATAGGCAAGTTATATATGGAAAGGGAAATTAAATTCAGGATCAAGGCTGGCTTCAAGATTTCTGGCTTTGGGGGTAAAGAAGGGGTCTGAGCTAAAGAGAGTGGTAGTAAAGTCAAAGCTGTGGGACAGGGAAGATTGTTTTACTTAGGACTTCAGTTTTTGAAACTTTGAGTAGTAGTATATGATGATATAATCAGGAACTTCAGAGGTAAGTTGGGTGGGTAAATGGGAAATAAAGAGATGTACCATGGGATGTCATCCGTAGGGAAATGTTAGCTCAGATAGAAACTACTGATGATATATATTAGAAGATATATAGGTGAGAAGAAAAGGGCCAAAGACAGGTCTTTGTAACACTTCATAGTAGAAGTATCAACGAAAGAAAGAAAACCCATCTTCAGTAATGAAAAATGGGTATCTAGAGAGGTAAGAGTCATACCAGGAGAAGTCAGTGCCACTGGCACCTTCTTTTTGCTCGAGGTACTCAGGGATCAGTGTTAGAAGTTTTACTGAGATCAAATAGGTGTCAGTCCATGATCAAAGTCAAGATATTAGACCATTAAATGCATTGAGATGGTTAGTCTTACTACTACAGTAAGAAAGGGCAAAAAACCTAGTTGATGATGTATATGTTGAAAAACCGTACTATTTGAGTAAGCAGTTTATTGCATATGCCCAGTAATCTGTTTAAAAACCAAATAACTTGATCATTAAATATTTGCTTTGGTCCCAATTCTGCACTAATGATCTGAAATATTTTGTTGTTCTCTGCCATGCATTGGTAATGTGTCAAAGTCTCTAGCACTTGTATTACCAAACTGGAGGGGCAGATTTTAGAAGGACTGACTGCACTTACGTCTAGTGGGAAAAGGTTTTTATTTTGGGAGGTGTGTAGCTTTTGTTACATTTAAGCTTACTGTGTAGTCTTTGAAGCCTGAATTCTGCGCCGCTGTGTACCGCCTGAGTGCTAAGCGCAGGGCAGTGTGAGAGGGGCGCGGAATGAGATGCACTCTCTCCCCAAGGCTGTGGAGCCACTCCGTGGCCCTTCTTTAAGCTGCGAGGCTTCAGTATCCTCCTCCACAAATGTGAGAGGAGGGGAGGACGCACAAAGCAGTGGATCTTCTAGCCGCCTCTCTTACATGGTTCACCTCAGGCCTACCTCTTCATACCTCCTGTGTGCTGAGGTGCAGAGGGCTCCTGTGGGGATGAGCTGTACCTCATAAGGTGTGCCCATCACCTGCAACTGTTGGCCTTCTGAACCCCCTTGTGGGAGTGGAATCCCACCAATTCTGACCGGGGAGTATCCACAGATTTGAACTATCTTAACCAGTCGTCTTGTTCCATTTTGCAAAATATGCATTACTATAGAACTGCCTGGAAATATATCCATCATTCGGAGGGAAAATATTTTTATGCCAAAGCAAACAGAAAACCTCTCTGCTTCTATAAAAAGTCAATTTTTTTGAGGGAACATATGTTTTTTATTTTATTTTTCTCTCATATGTTACTATTGCTTTTAATCTTTCACAGCATTTCACAATTAGAGGCCTTTACAAAATGCATATTTTTAGTACATGCACACACCTGCATGACAGTCTGAAGCTGTAAGGGACACTTAAGTTTATGCTCCAGTACTACAGTCTTCCTGGCTTGTCTTAGAATGAGACAAGAATTTTACTGTGCTCTGAAGTTTACAGTTCAAATATACTCCTGTCTGCCTAGTTAATGAGTCAAAATAGCTTTCTCCATAATGCACAGATCCTCTCTTGTGTACTTTTCCTCAAGCTACACTGAGAAGATACACCCTTAGATGTGATGCAGTGAAGCAGAATTCTAATTATAGCATTTATTTATTCTGTTTACAAACCCCAAATCATACAGAATAGAAAACAGGAAATAAATAAATGGAATATACAGAAAGTATCTGCAGAGGTATTGGTCATGCTATTGAGAAGCTTTGTTAAAGAGAGCAAAGAGCAGTCTGGAAAATTAAACACCCTGTCTCAGTCCTGTCCTGACCTCTGGTTTTCAGAAGGTGATATGCAGGGCCATTAGCTGTGAGAGACAAAGCAGAATCACATGGGTTTAATGAAGATGCTTCTCTTTCATCCATCTTATGAAACAGTTTTCTTGAGCAGTTAATTATAATTTCTTCTCCGATTCTCCTAATCTCAATCTGCTTCATTCTTATAGAATAAAAAAATTAAAAGAAAAGAAAACTAAGTTACAGGGAAAATTCATGAGACAAAGTGGCTGAGGTAACATCTTTTATTGGACCAACTTCTGTTTGGTGGGAGAGACAAGCTTTCGAGCCACACACAGCTCCGTGTGGCTTGAAAGCTTGTTCCTCTCACCAATAGAAGCTGATCTAATAAAAGATCCTACTTCACCTACCTTGTCTCTCTAATTTCCTGGGACCCACACAACTACAACTATACTGTACAGGGAAGATTCAGGTTACTTGACATTGTTTCCTGGCAGAAGAAGTCAATAAAATTCTGAGTTGGAATTTTGCATCTTCAGCACTGTTCAGATTATAGTAACCCTAGAAAGTCCCTTAAATTCCAAAAGAGAAAATAATGTCATCTGGGGAAATCTTTGGTGCTTTGATTGTCATTGTCTGAGTTGAGAAAACATATGGAAGGACTTATTTAGATCCTAATCCTGCAAAGATTTAAGTGTGGATGTAAAGTTGTGCATGTGAATAGACCCACTGAAGTCAAAGTGACTACTCATATGTGTAAGGTTATGCGTATGCTTAAATCATTGAAGGATCTGAGTCTTAGTCGTAAGCCGTTTGGGGTAGGGATAGTCCTCTACGGTGGTAGTATAGTGCCCAGCACAAAAGGCTTCAATTTTGATTGGGGCCTCTGAGCATTACCATAAAACACATAATAACAAGGGAGGGACCAAGCTTTGGTATAGTGTTGTATTTCATGGTGGGCATTCAGTTCAAATGCAAATGCTCAGTTTGCCTGTGTCTGGAAATAAGATTTATCTGGAGCTCTGTATACCTTGTCCTCTCCTGATATTCATCTCCAGTCATTGTAAATAAAGAGTCTTTCTGTGTTACGTAGTACAAGTCCAGCTCACAGTGAACCAGCTGAATCAAAGCAGAGAGTACATTGTATTCAGTATCCTTCAGTGGATAGCTCTGAGAATTTAGACTTCATAGGCCCTGGATTGACACCTTTATTTGGGCAGGGCTCCCCAAAAAGCAAATCATTTAAACGAAACAAATAAAACAACCATTAAATTTGTGGTAGAGTTGTGTGTGTGGGAGGGGGGCAGTATGTATTTGTGTTATGAATTAATTGTTGACTATTAAGGGCTACATTATCAGAGAATTGTGTAAGGTTTAGCCATCCACCATACTCCTGACATGTCTCTGCCCAGCTCCTTGTTTTTTCATCTGTCTGCCAATCAGAGCTTCTGGGGTGGGGCCAGCTTTCACAGCACTTCCTCTGTGCTGGGGAGTGGAACTTCACACCTCTCCCCCATTTGCGTGCCTAGCTCTATCACTCTGTCCTTTTGGCACTATCCTCGCCTGTTTCCCTATTTTCTGTATTTTCTGTGTACGTGACATAAGTGCAGTTGCATTGCTAGCTCATAGTCTACAAATATCTGATCAAGTAGGGTGGAAGATGAAATAAGATCACATACAGTAGTTGGACATAGACAATCATACAATAAATACTGTCTTCAGTATGACTCCAATAGGACATTGCTATGGAAAGGTACTTCAAAGATTACAAAGATTTGTATAGGACCAGCATTGTGCGAGGTATTTTACAGATCGGTAGGAAGAAATGGTCTCTTCCCTAAAGAGTTACAATTTAGGTAATTTCTAAAACAGTTTCTTGAGTAGTTTTGAGTTCATGTTAAACTATATGGACTTAATATCAGCACCACAAGTTGAGCATAGTTCATCACCTAATTTCACAGAACTCTTAATTACATTAAATACTCTGCTTTAAATTGACTGTTTTGCTTATTTTTGTCTATTTAATTTATTTGTTTCTTGCTAACAGAAATTTGATGGTGAATATCGCTGGTGGAAAATTGTCAGAACATGAAATTATGACTATTGGACGTTATTACAGCGTGCAAAATGAGTTTGAAATGGACATCAACTTCCTTCTTGCAGTGGCTCAAGAACAGCTAAAGAAAAATAGCTTTGAGTATTTCGGACAACTGTCTGCTACCTTTGTATACAATGACCGTGAAAAGTAAGGTTTCTGTATTTAATGCAAGCTAATAATTGACTCCTTTTTTTTTTAAAGCTGGTTCACAATTTGATAAAACTCTATTTGGAGACCCAGGTTCTGTCTCTCTCTTGCCTAGCATATCATATGAATACATTCAAAGGATTTGGTTTCTGGTAGGAGCCACGTGAGGATGGATGAGAACTAGACTGCTTCTCTGTCCTCTTTTTTTCCTTTCTGATTTGCTGATGGAGTCTCCATCATTTCAAATGTATTGAGTAGCCTGTGAAATAGTTATGTTCCTGGCCCTGTCACCATAGAAAAACTTTTTTTTAAAAAATCTTGGAGGAAAAATAGACATTTATCAAAAATAAAAAACCTGGGATTTTTAGTCATTTCAAAATAATCACTTAGATAAATTGTTTGTCCTTCGGGTTTTGTGGATCATAGATTTAGAATTAGAAATCTGTAAACGTATACCTTCCACTTGTAGTATACATGTGTCTTAAATACTTTAGGGGAAGAGGGCTTACAAATGTGTTGATGTTTTTCCTATTATGCAAAAGTGAAGTTTTGTGAAATGTGATTTTCATTTTTACCCTTAGATTTTCAACAAGTTTTTATATTATTTCCTTATTCACAAAAACATGCATTCGAAATATACATTTTGCTTCCATATTGTTAAACCTGTGAAGATAGACAACATGAAGGACATTTTTTCATTTCATTTTATATTTGTGCAGATGTGGGTTGCTGCCCCATGAGAAATGCAGGACTATTTGCAAGTCCTTCAGATTGCCATTGGCTGATGATCTTCTGCAAGCTTTACTGACCATGTAAGTCATAGACAGATAAAGTGCAGTGTGTGAGTACAAGTCACTTGCACTGTAATGTAATGTATGTTTAATGGCAGGTGAGTATTTAACATAAATTGTAGAAATATTTCCTAAGAATTTCAGCAGTTCACAGAATTGTGTATGTGCTATTGTGCTGATTCTTTCCATGCATTTCTTTGAGTCTTCATACTGGTAAACATTTGCAATTAACAAGGAAGAGAATTGCAGCATTTTTGTCATTTTTGGTTGGCAGAAAAAATCACCTAGGCTATGTATGAATACTATGATTGAATAAGCTTACAGGAATTAACCACTAATATTTATTGTCTTGGGATAAATGGGTGGAGAATTCCCATTTTTATATTCACTTTCTCGGTGTATTGGTTTGGGGAAAAAACATAGTATCTCAAGAAGGTACAATATATATTATCTGAGAAAGATGCCATGATGAATAACGTTGAAAAGTTCATGAATCAAATAGATGGTATCACTATAGATACAACAGTCCTTCTTTGTTACTCCTATATTACTCTTGGTGTTGTTCTTACCTGAAATATATGTTTTAAGTTTTTTAGAAAAGGGAGAGAAATTATTGGCAAAAGCAGAATTTACATAATAGTTTCAGTATTTTTTCTTGGAGTGTTAATTTGGTTGTACATATATTCTTTGAAATAGAATTCTTGATTAGCTACACTGATCAGAACAAGAACAGAAAAGCACAAATGTTCAGTGCCCTTGTGTCAAGACTCTAGAGGGCAGAGTTCACAATAAAAACAGGTTTACCAGTTGGTGATCTGAACACTCATCACAGATTGCTAGGCCTCCACAAAATCATAGAAATGTTGGGCTGGAAGGGACCTCGAGAAGTTATCAAGTCCAGGCCCCATCTTTGAAGCAGGGCTAAGCCAACTGGCCAACAGTCTAGTCTGAGTTTTAGAATATAGTCTTTGGTCTCTTTTCTTCCCCTACTAGAAATCATTAAGAAAATTATTTTGAGAATATGGAGACCTCTTAACATCATGTCAAAAGCAGGAGGAGGTCTTATTTCTTGTCAGGAATAGATGCTTTCATGCATGCAAGCTTCTAGCTTTTAGCGGAAGTTCAATATATGCTTCAGGGATTTACTGTTGAATGACAGGATTCTGTTCAAACAGGAAGGTGAGGGAAAGTTTGACCACCTTTAAATCCTTAATGCCCAAATCTAGCCCTCTACACTTCACCAAGCTCACAGGACACTGCTTGGGGAGAAATCTTTTAAAGTCACTCTTTACCTGCAAGTCTGCCTTAAGAAACCTAAGGCACCATTGTTTTTAAGCCCAGTTTGTCTATGCACCAAAAGCATTCAGAGGAGTTTCCTGTGGTAGCCAGATGGATGCCTTCTACAAATTGCTGGCCATTCATCACTTCTGACGGTTGGGTCACAAGCATTGGTCAAAAGACGTATAAAATTCATTTTTTTAGAACTCCCACAAAGCTGTCCAGCAGAAAAAGTGCATCGGGACAATTGGCATTTAGAGTTAGAATTCTCATAGTCTCAAAGACTGTGATTGAATAGATGCAACTAGAGGAGGAATGAAGTGGAGTTTTCCTTTATTTACTAACTAACACCGAAGAAGACCTGGCAGACCTGATACATCATAGGCTTCAAAAATAAATGTGTCTTGTTTGGCATGAGGGAAAGCTTTTGAAAGTTGACAGCCTCTCTTGTAAGGGAGGGCTGAATGGAGTCACTTCAAAACCAAAAATCCACCAAACCCCTTTCATTTAAAATTATTATTAAAATAATATACAATCTTAGAGGACAAGGAGGATGCTTAATATCTATTGCAAGATCACTTTGTTCCAAAAGTTGCTTTATATGATAAAGGACTGCGAGTAATTTGAGTGATAAGATAAAGATTCGTTGCATTGAAAGATCTCGGTGTGTACAGCGAGTCCTTACATTACAGATAAGAGGAAAGTATTTAAATCCTTAAACAAAGGCTTGTGTAGTTGATACCACTTAAGTAAGGATGTGTATTTAATAGTGACTTTTGTTTATTTGGGTTTGTGGTCAGGAAAATGTTTCCTGTAACGGATTTAATTGGAATTAATTTCCATTTTATTGGGAGGCCTCAGACTCTACCTTGCAGGTAATAGGAGTGTTTGAAGGATATTTAGTATCTTGTCCCTCCATCCCCCCATTTATCATGAAGGTTGAACAGCCATGAAACATCTAACATAGTAGCACTGCTGCTGATAAGCCAGTTTCACTTCTGGAAAGTCCACTGTTTAATCTAAAGCAGTGCCGCTTATCACTGATGTCCCTTCACCTGTTTTTATGGATGAGGAAAAATTTGATTTTTATTTCCCTGGGTATTTCTAATGAACATTTCTGAATTTATTAAATGTATTAAGGAGGAAAATAAGGCAAATCCCACAACACAGGCAACTTTAGCTACTGCATTAGCTGGGGGTATATATCCTACAGCTTGCAGTTTTTTTCTAAATAACTTATTGTTACTTTTTGAATAGAAAATTAAAAGTTAATACCCATAAATATCTATTATTTAACATTTGTATATAATGCCGCAGGTGTCGGTGGCTCTTATCAAACAGAGTAAGGATTTAGGCCACATTGAAGTAAATAGGAGTTTTGCTATTGGCTTCAGTGAGCCCAAGATTTCACCCATGATTTCTGTTCCAAGGAGCATCCCAATCTAAGCAAGTGAAGAGAGAATCCTGGCCAATAATGTCAAGTTACAGTGCATTGAAAGTACTAAGGCAATTCTTAGTGTCTCACTGGTATAAATATATTTTTTAAAATTACAGAGCAGGTGCAGATTTTTTACCATGATGTATTAAGATATGCAGAGGCTTCCTATTTGTTTCTACCAGTAAAATGCAACATTTATTATAGCATTTCTTTAAGTTTATGCAAACATACAAGGAACAATGAGCTTGTTTAATACACAAGCACAATTAAAATGCTTGAAAAATAAAATTTTGCATTTTGAAATAATTGGTATTTTCTTTTGATCCTATTTTTATTTATTCACTGTGCACCTAACAGTGCACTAATAGACAATTTAAAAGGGCTTACAAACTAAATAGGGACATGGTGAATGAGGAAAGATAAAATGGAGGAAAGGAAGCAGGGAGAGGGAATGTACGACAAAGGTTTCAAATATAAGATCATAGAATCATAGACTGTCAGGGTTGGAACGGACCTCAGGAGGTCATCTAGTCCAACCCCCTGCTCAAAGCAGGACCAATCCCCAGTTTTTTCCCCAGATCCTTAAATGGCCCCCTCAAGGAGTGAACTCACAACCCTGGGTTTAGCAGGCCAATGCTCAAACCTCTGAGCTATCTTCATGAGTGAGTTCGTCCATACTGCACGCATCTTGTGGCTTTAAAAAAAAATGGTAAATTTTATGCTAAATAATCGCTGTAGAGGACACATCGGGATGGTTTCTCTCAGCCCTGCTGCTGTGAGGTGGTTGTGGTGGGCTTCTAGGGCAGATGGAGGCTTGGCAGCTGTGACTCAGGAAAGCCTGTGGAGGCAGCTGCCAAGCTGGGGAGGGCTGGAGCGGGTGTGCCTCTGGAACCTAATATCCCAAGTGGTTGCTCCTTGTGCCAGGAGGCCCACACACTGTAACTCCAAAATTTACTGTAATCCCTATATGGGATGCAGTGATGAACATTCAGTAGAAGAGTGCATGCATCAAAGATTAACTTTATGCAAACTAGATGCATTTTGAGTAGAGCTGTGGAAAATGCAGCACCTTCAGGTTGCCGCTGTTTGCTGGCTGTTTTTTAGTTCCATTGTATAGCCCCCAAGTTTCCACATGTGTATGAGCCAACACACGACGAAACCGTTACGGTTTGCTTCAATTTTAATTTGAACAATGCAAAACTGTTAATTTCTTTTTACATGGTACCACCCCGAGGGTCACACATTCCTCTGAGCACCCTACTTCCCCTGGCTTAACAGAAAGAGGGAGAAGACAAACAGGCATCTTTGATCCTCAGAAGGGCCAGAGCAATGAGATTTGGGCCAGAATAATTCTGTCCCTAGAACTTCCCTCCCACAACAGTCCAGGTCCTCTCTGTTTTTTTGCTATCTCTTGGTGCGTGAGCCCTGGTGACTTTTACCCAGGAACCTATCCTCAAAACTCTGTACATTTTGGGGGTGCTATGCTCCCTCCAGGAGGGTAGGCATAATTTCCCATCCACACCAAAAAAGATCTTGAGGCAGACAGCAGGACTCAAAAGGCTCCCCTGGTCATCATAGAATCATAGAATATCAGGGTTGGAAGGGACCTCAGGAGGTCATCTAGTCCAACCCCCTGCTCAAAGCAGGACCAATCCCCAATTAAATCATCCTGCTATACTCTCTCTCCAGCCCAATGTGTTTGGCACCTTAGACACACCTGTCTCTACTGTGGCCTTAAGGAACTCGCAGGTACCAATATCCAATATTTAGAACTTAACTTTTTACAAACATTTTTTTTGGTTTTTCTGTTCCCTATGACAGACAGGTAGTGTGGTATACATTTGGTAGGTACATGCTAATCAGTATATTTACCACAGGTTAGCCACCAACATTACTCAGCTCAGACTGACCAGTTGTACAAACCAGCTTGTGTTAGTCCTTTAATCTTTCCCTGTAACCAGCTTAAACACTTATTCATACCCAGAATATACAGAAGCTATCAAACAAACTGAAGTAGCAGCACAGCCATACTCAACAAATATTCCGTTAAGTCAAAGTGACATAGCCCTTTCCACGGCTATCAGATTAACATTTTAATAAAGTGTTTTTCAAAACAAAGGAACTTAAGTTCTGTAAATATTGCTATCTAGAAAAAGAACACTTGGGTTGCAACTTTCCTGGCTGGAAAAAAAAAACATTTGTAAAAAGGTTGAGTCATTCAGCACTACATTCTTATAAATTGATAAAGCAGGCTTCTACACGTTGGGGTATTCCAAGGTGAACACATTCTGCAGAGGCCACAAACAAGAGCTATCTGTCTTCTGCCAAAGAAAGAAGAAAATTGTTCTCCAAGTGTTGTGGGGAGGAATGATTCTTAAACCATATTCTAACCTCAAATGCTTTGATGATGATCTAGAGATAAACTAAAGGGGGACAAGGTGTCACATGATCTTAGTTGTCTCCTTTTGGAAGAGGCAAATCTAACTTCCTTTATTACTGAAAAGCATTATAGTATCTACTCATATTAACTCTGATCATTCAAATGTAGGGCATCTCTTTCCAGTCCATCCTAGTACCTTTGACTCCAAACTCATAACTCAGAAATAGGGCATCTCCTTATTCAAATTCACTTGTGTAAGCAGGTGCAGTCCATGCGAGTCAAGGGCTTTGTAGCCACCTACTATATACCAGTATGAATTTGGAATATTTTCAAGCCACTTTTACATAGCTGCCTAAATATGGATTTAGGAGCCTAATTTTCATCACCCAGGCTTGAAAATTTTCACTCTAGTTAAGGGTACTAGTTCAGAGACGGCATTCCTAGCTGATCAGGGTGCTTTCACAGTCAGATCAAAGGACTTTGGCCCCAATCCAATGCTTGTGGAAGTCAGTGGGAGTCACTGGATTGCACCTATACAGTCTTAGATGAAAGTGGTCCAGTATAGGTTTAAGTAATTAAATTCTTTCACTTTTCCTGTATATAAAAAAACTGCTCGGTTAACCTGTAGAACTCTGAGTCTGTGCTGTGGATTATATCTTGACTTTCCACAAACCAGCAAAAGGCTAACCTATACTGAGAACATACAACTTCAAAGGGTCTAATTAATGAAGTTTTAGGATGTCAACATAATGTAGTACTCTAACTTTTTCTTCAGAAGGTTAAAGCAATACTACAGGTTGGTAATAAAAACAAATCACATGTCGTAAGTCTTATGAAATTCAATGTGTGTGCACCATAGATCATATTAAAATAATATGTGCAATCAAAGGTTAATGCCAGTCAACTTTTATGGCACATACTTCCTACTTTTTGATTAAGAAGCAAGCATTTGTCCTGCTATACTCAGCACTGGTGATCACAAAATGGGTGCCCAGGGCATTTTGGATGGGTGCTTATTTTTATGAAAGGATTATAAATCAAAGTAGCAAAATAAACCAGATCAGCTGTATTTTCGTGTGTCTATAGCACCAGCAGGTTCTCTTCTAGACATAAAGACAGGATTTTACAGGGTGCCTCCAAGAACATTTTCACTCCTTATCCCAAAACTATAAGGCTGCCACTGATCATAACCTTCGTTTATTGAAGAAAAATTGGTTAATAGTAATGTTTAAAAAATTGAAATGAGTTGAACTCTCATACACTTTAAAGACAATGAAAAGTCTCATGTGACAGACAATAATGAAGTGTAAAGTTTTATATGAAGTGTAATATATAGAACAATAGAGAAACATATTCTGCAGAGTCTTCTCCTTAGCCAGTTGTCCATTTTCTATATTTTTTAAATTAATGATCAAATATGCAATTTGTTGTGTGATGTAAAATATGACAAAGTATATTAAAATAGGTAACAATTGAATCAAAATATATATGAATATTCTGCTTTTAGGTTTGAAGATGGCAAGGAACAAGTAGATTATAAGAAGTTTGTCAATGGGCTGAATTGGAGAGAGAATCCAGTTCCGACTTTCCAGACAATAAAGGTTCCTATAAAGGTAAAGTTAAGACGTTTAAAATAAAAAAGCAGTGCACAAAACTTGAAAGCTCCTTTCATGCTGCCGCTGCTGTCATTAAGTCAAAACATATTAACACCATTGATTTATCCAACAAAGAATATCTGGGACTCGATCTTTATGGATCTTGCCCAGGTTTTTTGAGCAGTTTGTTTCTGTGGTGAGGTATTGGGTGAAGCAGAGAACCAGTGTAAAGCAGGGGAACTCTGTAGCTCTTTTGTGCACAGTGGATGCCACATCTCTAATGGATTTCTAGGGAAATATAGGAAGGAAAATGGCTGTGCTCTCCTGTGAACAAGGGCATGACTATTAGGTGCTCACACTTTCTATTACACAAACCTTATGTTCAGAAGTCACAATTATCAGGAAAGTCTACAAATTCCACTGACTCTGCAAAATGTAACTACAATTTCCTATAACTCGGTGGAAACTTGCACAGAATACACCACTTCCTTGGTAGGTAGTGGGAGTAGCATGGAGAAATCAACTAATATGTCTCTCTCAGCCTAGTACTTAGAGTAAGTAAAAATGTCATTTCAGCAAACGGCAAAGATTAATCTGACCTGGCTGTCTTGTGTTGGTGTGAGAATAGAATGGTTTAAAATAGAATTGTGCATAAGCTAGTCAAATTGACTTTTTTTAAAAATGTCACAGCAAAGAAATCCAAAGCGCCTTAGCGCACATATAACATCGCTTTTCTGACCCAGCCCTTGACTGCTGATATTGAATGTGTTTCATTTAGTCTCCTCTGCTTCTGCTGGTTTAGAAGCATAGGGTTCACTGCATTTTAAATTCAGCAGCTGCATATATTCACCAGTGATATACAAGTGCTGTGTTTTCATCCTGACAACATACTGGCTTCACTGCTTGCTCAAGCTTCTGGAGCCTATAAAACTGTCTATAGGGGCTAGTGAGGGGACAGTGCTGCTGAGTTGCTAAGATTTCCTGGGTGTCATTTTCTTGGATTCCTTAATTCAGAAAAATTTTCTTGTATGCCTCTAAGCAAGATCCTGTATATATTTTTACAGCATCCACATTATACTGGATATGTTTTCAGATTTTAAAAGTGTGTGCTCCAGGTTTTGATGAGGGCACTTTTCAAACAGGGAGTTCAGAATTCTACTCAAAGATATTACTCAATGATTATGTTGTGATAGCATCCAGTGATGCTTGTCAGGATTAGGGCACTGTTGTACTAGGTGCTGTGCAAACAGATAGGTGCAGTTTCTGACCCAAAGCACTTACAAAACTACGAGGATGGGCACCATGTGAGGGGGGGATGTGTGTGTGAAAGAGGCAGAAAAATATACAAATATGTTGGCTCGTTATTTATTTCATATTTTTCTCCTAGCTGTATTGGCTGCCTGCCCAACTGCCTCAGGCTAGTCATTGAGCACTGATGGATTTCTTGTAGGTGGTGTGCCTGAAGTGAATCTTGAAGAGGGGATGGAGGACCTGAGTGGTAGTGAGGAGAGGCAATGTGCTGTTTGTAGTCATAATAAGCCAGTCAGTGGCTGTGATCACAGCTTGCCACTTTGCCTCACTGTTATCAGATGACAGTGTTTTGTAGGCGTCATGGCAGAGGTGATTTGAGGGAGGATTGGTTTTATGGATTTTGACAGGGAATTTCTTCAGTGTCGATGGGACAGCAAAGGAGAAAAGACAAAGGCACTTGTGAACCAAGAAGTCAGTTAGGATTGGCATCTTAAGTGGAACAAAGGCTGTGATCAATATAATAAAATATCAGGGATAATTTGGGCAGGGTTATACTGTAAAGGTCAGGAAAAGACATTTGTGTTTGCAGTAGAGCCAGTGGAGGGGCTTACAGAAAGTGAGCTGACAGAGCTACAGGCTAGGAAGACCATCTTAGTGGCAGCAGAGTGAACGGACTTAAGGGGAGCAAGGTTGCAGACAAGACCAAAAAGATGGAAGTTGTTGGTTATATTCTTATTTTATTATTTGCATTACCGTAGTGCCTTGGAGCCTCAGTCCTGGAGCAGGACTCCATTGTGCTAGGCACTTTGCCAACACAAAACAAAAAAAACCTGCCCCAAGCCACAGAGGTGTATTCAGTTATCCACTAGATAGGAGAATCACTTCTGCATTCATTGTTTTAAAAAAAAAAAAAGGCTGGAAATTACATAACATACTGATTTCAGAGTGCTAGCCGTGTTAGTCTGTATCCACAAAAAAGAAAAGGAGTACTTGTGGCGCCTTAGAGACTAACAAATTTATTTGAGCATAAGCTTTCGTGAGCTACAGCTCACTTCATTGGAAGCATTCAGTGGAAAATACAGTGAGATTTTATATACACAGAGAACATGAAACAATGGGTGTTGCCATACACACTATAACGAGAGTGATCAGTTAAGGTGAGCTATTACCAGCAGGAGAGGAAAAAAACCCTTTTGTAGTGATAATCAAGATGGGCCATTTCCAGCAGTTGACAGGAACCTGTGAGGAACAGTAGGGGGGAATCACTTGATTATCACTACAAAAGGTTTTTTTTCTCTCCTGCTGGTAATAGGTCACCTTACCTGATCACTCTCATTATAGTGTGCATGGTAACACTCATTGTTTCATGTTCTCTGTGTATATAAAATCTTCCTACTGTATTTTCCAAGGCATGCATCCGATGAAGTGGGTTTTAGTCCACAAAAGCTTATGCTCAAATAAATTTGTTAGTGTCTAAGGTGCCACAAGTACTCCTGTTTTTATAACATACTGAGATATCCTGCACTATAGTAAATGAACAAACAAGTTAGTAAATTATGTCCAGGTTGGCTGTGGTGGCATTATTTATCCAATTTATTATTTTGATGGTTAGCTGTAATATATAATAATGAATTTATTTTAGATGAGTACATTTTAATGAAAAAATGAGTAAGAAAAGAAGAAAGAGAAGATACCAAAGGGAATGTAAATCCTTTTATTGATTCTTTGACTTTCTCAGCTGAATCTTTATCCGAGCTGTGGTTTAATATGCACGACAGTAATTTTGTCTAGGTGTAAGATGATTATATTTGACAAACCAAAATTTCAGTTTGTATTCTTACTCAGTGATGTAGTCCTGAAGTTTTGATCTTCTAACTTACATTTCTTCTTTGTTTTGTCTACTCGTTTGAAAGCTGACAATTCCTACAAAATGTCTTGTTCTCTTAGCTGACCTCCATGTCTTTGAAGTATAGTTGTGTGACTGAACAAAACAGTACACACTAGTCTTTGATTTTTAAAAAAAATTGTGCAGAAGTGGAGATGATGGGATATTTTTAATAAAACCTTCAGTAGCATTGATCAAAATCATCACCACCATATTCTTTAGGAAGATATGCTTTACACATTTGTTTTTTTCACAGGTGATTTGCATGTAGAAATGAAATAACTTGCTTAACATTATTTTGTGACATTTCTAGTTATTTCTGTTTTCAAAACGGAGTTCTAAGTTCATCCTCTTGTTTATCACTTTCAGTATGAAGATGACTGGAGTGGGCAGCCACCATCCCTTCCAGTGAAAAGGATCAAATATTTACCCCTAATAGAGGATGTTTTTGGCACTGAAGAATAATCTGGTCTATGCAGGTCACTTCTTTTGAATTACTGTTGCAACTTCACCAAGCGTGTCTGGACAGATACTGTAAACTTTCCTTAAAAAATAAAAGAATCACAGATATAGATTTTATTGAATTTAAATTTCTTACTCCAATGTAGAAATATAGTTCATGAATTTTTGTAATTCTTTCAAAATACAAAGTACTGTACTGTAAGTACATGAGCACAATTAAAAATATCCTTTAAACTGAACTTCATGTTTGCTTATATGTAGAATGCACAAATATTCAGAAATCTTACAGTGAGAATCAAATGTAGCAAAGTGTGACTGACCCTAAACCATTCTCATCTGCAAACAAACGAAAATTATCACTGACAACATTAAGTCAGACTATATCAGCACAATAATTTAATATTCTCTTCAATTTTTTTTCATGCTGCTTAGTTTTATATTGATGTATCCCTGCTGAATCTTAAGTGTTGTTTATGTCAAAGCCAGTTAGTTTATGGAGGGGTTCTAGCACAGCATAACATTTCCTGGTATCAGAGATAATTACAGCCTACCAATATAGAAGTAAATATCTTGCAGTGTAACACAGAAACTCTGAGCTCTTGATTTTTGCTTTACATACATCCTAAATCGATAGACGTCAAAACTTATTTGGGGAATCTGTGTGAAATGAATTGGTGGTTTTAGTCCAGTCTTAGTGAACAGGTGTCCTCAGTGTAAAACTGCACTTTCCCAACTGAAACAAATTGATACCCTGCTTATCGTTCAAGATTGTGATGATTAAGTGGAGTTCCTGTCAGTACTTTGTACGTATATAGCGCTGTACGAGTTCAAAGCCATGTTTAGACAGGAATTCCTTCATTATCACTACACCCCTGTGAACTGGTAAGTATTATTCCAGTTTAAGAAGGGTGGGGAAGCTGAGTCAGAGGTGTGGAGGGACTTGCCCAAGGCAATAGTGAGTCAGTAGAAAAACCGGGATTAGAACTCAAAAGATCCTGACTCTCAGCTCTGCACTAGTATTTTCTGGTTACTTTTGTGAAATTATTAAATTCATTGATTGAGGATGACAGGTTTTTATCTCAAATTGCAATTCAAGGAGAAGGACAAGTGCTTAATTTAGAAAGACAAACACTTAGCTTATTTTATGATTCTGTATTACAAACAAGTTTAATAGATCATTTAAATCAGATTTGTTTTGTGGTCATACATTTTAAACACAGATTAGACTCCATAATGTCATAGATTCCAAGGCCAAAAGGGGCCATTGTGATCATCCAGTCCAACGTCCTACAGGCCACAGAGCTTCCCAGAATTAATTCCTGTTTGAACTAAAGCATATATTACAGAAAAAACATTCCATTTTGATTTAAAAATTGCCAGTGATGGAAAATCCACCACAACTCTTAGTAAATTGTTCCAAATCATTAAAAATGTGTACCTTATTTCCAGTCTGAATTTGTCTAACTTCAGCGTCCAGGGATTGGATCCTGTTATACCTTTATCTGATAGATTGAGGAGCCCTCTATTACCAAATTTTTGTTCCCTATGTAGGTACTTATAAACTGTGATCAAGTCACTCCTTAAGCTATTTTAGACTTGATAATGCCTTCTCACATGTCTGACAAGATCTATGTGTAGATAAGTAACAAGACTTGTTTTTCTTGGAAAGAAAGGTTGAGAACTACCATCTTTCTGTCTTTTGACTATTTTGTAATGCTGTTCTGTGTATTTTTAATAATACTCACTGAATTTTCTCCCTGCTTCTGTCTGTGCCTTCTTTTCTTTCTCATGCACTAGGCAACATGGATAGCCACAGAAAAATCTACTAGGAATGGTGCATAGCAGGTTCATGTAAGGATTTTCATTCCTTGCCACCATGTTCACAATGCGCCTGGCAAAGTCGTGTGGAACTACATAGTACAAATAATTTTCACCAGATCTTCTGTTCACAAGTGGCAATGAAAAGGCCCCAGCCAATCATCAGCCAGCCTTATTGTTTGTATAATGTAACATAAAGCATACAACCCCCCCTGACTATTTCAACCCCTTAATCCTGCCACCAGGTTCCTCTCTCTCTTCACATTGCTAATGAGATGCCTGAATGAAGACCATTTCATAACATTATGTTTCCAGATGGCATAAGGCCACAACTTTAAAGCACTTATCACATAAAGTGGGAGGCAGTCCTTACCGTTGATCTTAACGAACAGTCTCTGGAGAAGAGCCTCCCTCATATCGTAAATATATCTTCTGTCCACAGACATCCCAGCTCTGCATGACCGTAGCTAAGAGATGCACACTGAGGCACTGCCTCACCCCACTATGCTGACTGGAGCTTGAAAGGACCCAATGTTGACTTACTAGCTCAACCCAGTACCTGAGAATGTGTCAGGGGCCACAGAGGGGCAGCATCAGAAGCCAAGACAGGGTCAGAGTCAGAAGCCAAACCACCCGTCAGGGCCAGGGTGGAGTCGGTAGCCATGCAAAGGAGTAAGCCAGAATCAGAGTCAGAACTCAGACCGAGGGTCAGGCCAGAGTCAGTCACTGGAATTAAGGTGCGGAAGCAGGAGCAGACCAGCTGAGAAGGCAGGAACTAGGACCAAGGTATGGTAACGGACAAGGGTCAGGAGCTTGATATCAGGAGTCTGGTCAGCAGTGGACCTGGCAACTAGTTGCTCAGACAAAAGGTCAGACAGGAACGGGAAACTTTATGCTTGGTGGTGTCCAATCAGCAGTCTGCTGCTCGTCTCCTGACCTAGCTGAGTCAGTGAGAGTAGTCTGTGGTGGTGAGGTGTTAGCTGCACTTTCCTCATGTAAGCTCGTGGCACAGAGACTAAGGTTCTTGCTTGACACGTCCCCCTTTTCCCCCTCCCCGCCCACCGCCTGGGTTCGAGCGCCGCGGTACCTGACAGAATGGGAATTCTACGTATTCCTCAAAAAAGCTGCTTCAGCGAAACAACTTGTCATATGACAGCCAGGGCTACCCGCCACCAGGTGCAGCTAATGCATTGCTAAGATGCTGTCTCCCCCAACACCTTCAATCCACGTCTGTGTGTCTCCAGTAAAGGTGTCTGGTACAGTCGCCATGTATAACAGGCACCCATAAACAGTGTCGTCATGAACCAGCATCAACTTACCACGAAATGTTCCTCATAACATTTTTCCATGCCCTGCTCAGTACACCAGCTCTCGTGGACAGCAGTGCCAACTGTACCACCTTCATGTACACCCAGATCAGTGCCAATGACGCCTTGTGCAATTCACTCTCCTTCATGCTACCGCGTCATTTTTGCCCAGATGTGTGAAGTTAGTGTTTAGCTCACTCGTCCTCATTATTACATCAGGTGTCACTCAAAGGAGCTGATTCCATGTCATGACAAGGAGCCCCCCCCCCTCCTCCCGCACCAAAACAAACTGATAGACCCTCTCTTTGGTCTGTCTTTTAGCTCAAAAGGCAATTCAGTATCCCCAGGTATAAACTTCCCATGGAGGATCTACAAAGATCTTAATACCATGATGTCTGAAGCTTCAGAAGGTTTAGTCACTCAACAACAATAGGAGAGAAACATCCCTCATTCACCAATAGCAACTTGCCAGCTTATTTCTGGTTAAACACCATCAGATGCTCCCACGGTTCCTTATAAGGAATTACGGAGCCATTAGAAAAACTTTTCTCATCTGGGTGATCCAACAGTTGGGAGAATAAAACTAGTATCTTGACGGGAAGGAAGAGAGAGGAAGAAATTCCATCCAGGTATAGCATATTAAGATTATATATTATATAGGCTGTTACTGTGTATAGCTGGATGGTCTGAAACATCTGCCAGGTTTTGTTTTGTTTTGTTTTGGTACGTGTTATCAGTAAATAAACTGGCTGTCCTCCACTACCCTTCAGCTGAGCCATCTGTCCACTTCCTCTCTCCCTTGTTTAGCTAATAGTTTTACATTGAGAATTAGCCATAGTAAAAAGTGGAGGAGCCAGTTCAGAGTCAGCCACTTCTCAGGATCATGGTGTAAGCCAGTGGTAAGCAACTTGGTAGAAATACTCTTTAACAGTACAAGTTCATAGTGTTAACTACGGTAGTTTAGAAAATGTCCTCATTGAAAGGGAAGAATGACATTGTCTTGAAGGTTCAGTGGTACAAACTTGCCACTTGCATGTATTAGAGGAAACTCAGGGCTCCCATTATGGTCACCATGATCCATAAGCTCACTGAAGTCAATAGAAATACACCCATTGTCTTCAGTGAGCTTTGAATCAGATCCCAGCTGTAGTAACCATAGATAAAATTCTTGCTTTATTGACGTCAACAGCAAAGCTCACATTGACTTCAGTGGGGTTCAGGTTTTCTCCTTAACTGTGTTGCACTGCTAGACCCCAGATCATCAAAGCATTTAAGCATGACCTTAAGCCCATCTCTATTTAGCAAAGCCATTTAAGCATTTTTTTAAAAATCTCATTGAACACAGTGCAGCAGACACACATGCTTAAATGCTTTGTTGAACGGGGATGGACTGCTGAATAGAGGCCCTGGTGAATTTAGTCACTGTAATAAAAATACATTATATTAGAAGATAGGATAGAAAGGAGGTATTATAGAAGTGCGTGTGTGCCTGTGTGCACATTTGGGTCTGCACTCATGTGCATGTGCTATATGTCATAAGTTATTACTGTATTTTTTTCATAGTATAAGCCAACAATTAGCAATTAAATTCCCATTATGGGATCATGTTGGTAATTGTGATAAATTGAAACTATGTAACTGCTTTAAACTGTTCTCTTAACTAACCCAAATACTGTAATACTTCTATAATATAGAGATAATATCCCCATTAGTACTGTTTATGACTCAATAAACAGCTCCCACAAGTTAATAAATGCCAAAGCTGTAAACACCAAGACTATTAATGCTGTAGAATTTCTGTGCCTCCCTCTTTTGTTGGTGGTCTAGATACAGCAAAGGGAAATGCTATCTCAGGAAAAACATTTATTCTGGCTATATAAATATAAATGAATTGTCTTAAAACCCATCTGGAAAGCTCCCATCCTCCCTATGTCCCAGGTGGTCTGGCAACAGTGATGAATTCTGAATTTGTCTGCAGGCAATAGAAAAATCTTCCTTTTTAAATAAAAGAAAGAGGCTTAGTTTTAAAAGCTCTGATGACGTCTTCACCTTGTCTTTCCCCTCTGTGGAAGGTGGGAACAAAAATCCCCTCCACTGCAGTTATTCAAGTATGTTCATTCAAAAACAAAAAAAACCAAAAACAAACAAACAAAACCAACCAACAATACCACCACCAGTAGTGTCTGGATTTTTACATCTCTTTAACCATTTTGCTGCCAGCATTCTTCAATTTTGATGGACAGATGGATTTGATGGAAGAGAGTCTGTGGGTGTCACTGGCAGCTTGAAGGTTAACGCGGGCAAAGCTTTTCTGTAGTAGGAACTCCTTTGGACTCAGAGCTGAGGGAGTGATTAATGAAGTCATTTGCAAACAACACCAACCCTTTGCTTTATCTAAAAAACAAACGCATTGAAATATGTTTTTCAAGATGCCAAGACTCCCATTTCATTAAGTAATCAGTTGTTCAATGAGCCAACTGTACCAGGGGAGTTTTTTTGCTGAAGTACATTAATTTTGTTTATATGTTTGAATTCATCAAAATAGCTGAATGTTTTGGCCTCTGCAGCTGAATTAATCCATTTCTGCATGAAAAGCCAGAGTGTATGCAATGGATCAATTTCTCTCCATCCCCCATCTCCCACATACATCTTGTCCTGGTTATGTAACCCCTGTTTTTATTTAATTCCCCCCCCCCCCCATCATTTCATAGCTTCTATTTTGTCACTTTTTGTGACAGTCTGTTTCAGAGCGGGATCGTATCTCAAATGGCTATTGAGATTTATTCTTTTGACCTTTGTGCTCTTGCATTTGTGACCTTTACACCTGTGGGGTGGGGTTGGCGTTGAAGGCTTCCAAAGAGCTAGTTTTCACGCAAACAGAACCTCCACAAATATCGCCATCAAATATTTTTCTGTGCAAGTGCAATTAACAGGAAGCAAATGTATTCTCTGTTGGCTTTAGAGCTGTTTTAATTTAACTATCTTTTTTATTTTGCTCTTGGGTTATGTTTCAGGAATAATTGTAACTAACAGTGGTGTAATCCCTAAGCAAACATGCAAATGCATTTCAACACTTTCCATATGGCACATGCACTAATATTTTGTGGCCACTCAACAGATCCAGAGATGCACCCATTGATTCCCTGTAGGAAAGAACAAAATGAAGAAAAGAAAACCCACTGAGGCAAAATCAGTTTTTTCTGATTAGAAAAACAAGAGACCCAGCACCCTAGTGGAGCAGAGGGCTTTGTCTGAAGAGGCAATCCCAATGGTCATTAAGTCAGTGGCAGTTTTATTATTGATTTCAGTGTGAACAGGATCTGACCTTAATTCAGCATAAATGGGTCTTCTTTTGCTGCCTCCCTTAACTCACAGCATCATACACTGTACATGATATAAAAATGGATTGTAACTCCAATGAAAGCCAGAGCTCACAACTGACAAGGTTCTTAAGTAACTTTAGCAAAACTATCCTGGGATATTAAAAGCAATAATTCCTATCCATCAGAGAACACTCTTAAAATGTTCTGCATATATATTGGTGAGTGGTACAGTGCATCACACACACCATCCTAAGAAAAGTCTGTAAATTTGGTCTGTAAAGCCTATTATTATTGCAGGTCTGCAATACCAGC